AATGTTAAAGTCTCCAATAGACTCCAATGTTATAGTCTTCAATAGACTCCAATGTTAAAATCTCCCATAGTCCACAATGTTAAAGTCTCCCATAGACTCCAATGTTAAAGTCTCCCATAGTCCACATTGTTAAAGTCTCCCACAGACCCCAATGTTAAAGTCTCCCACAGACCCCAATGTTAAAGTCTCCCATAGACTCCAATGTTAAAGTCTCCCACAGACTCCAATGTTAAAGTCTCCCACAGACCCCAATGGTGAAGCATACCCATTTGGTGTACTCCGTATTCTTGTACAGGGGAATTGAGTTGAGATTTATAAGGGGCACGAGGTGACCCATGAGGTCTGAATTGGTCTGTAATAAGGTAGGGCACTGATAGGTATCATGAATGCTGACGATTTGGTGATTGCTGCTCACTCAGAGGAGACGTTGCTGCTGAGACTGGAGCGTGCCACTAAGAGGTGGGGCCTTACCATCAGCCCCAACAAAACTAAGCACCTGCCTGGGTATTTTGTACCATCGGACACTCCACCCCCACAACTCCCAATCGGTGATGGGGCAGTTGTGGAGAGAGTGGAGAGTACTCTCTGGTTCTATTCGGTAAAGTCACGTAGGTAAAAAATAACACAACAAAAATCACGACGTTTCGGCCACAACACAAGCGGCCTTCATCAGGTGAAGGGATCAGGCTGTCTCGAGGACAGCGCTGGAGTGAAACACAGCCATGCTCAGACCGCGGACCCTTAAGCTGTGTGCGAGGAAACAAGGTGCCTTGACAAAGGAATTAGCATAAAAATTAGCATTTGATTGGCCGACTTAGCATAGAGGTGGTGTACATGCAAGTGGACTTGCTGTTTGGCGCGGGGGGGAGAGAGAGTTTACCTATTGATGGTGTGAAAAGGGAAATTTTAAGAGCTGCGAAAGTTTGGGGTACCACTACTTGAAAAAAGATACTGTACCATTGAAAATTAGTTTAATGTTTAGTTCGATTTAGAACATCTTTCCAATGGTTGCTTAATTTGTAACCATCCTCTCGGTTGAAATTGTGTCTGTGTTTGTAGATCTGAATTGCCTCGTGAACAAATCTCTGATAAAAACCCGTGGGTTTGCAAAGAACCTTGGTATCGGAGAAAAATTATATCGTGATCACCCACAGCGTTGTAACAGTGATCAGCCACGGCAGAAGAATTCGTTTTGCCGTGTTTCAAATCTGATTTGTGCTCGCGAATTCGGTCAGAGACATGTCGCTTTGTCTCCCCGATATAGCAATCACCGCAGGTACAACTCAATTTGTAAACCCCGGGGTACTGTAAGTCAGGAATGACATCCTTCACGGATGGGATCAGATCACGAATTTTGTGTACTGTATTGAACCGGACCTGGATCTTGTATTTGTTTAGAATTTTGGAAATCTTTTTAGTAACGCCTGCTATATATGGTAGTGTGATGGTTTTGACCGGAGTATCAAGTGGTTGTTTCTGTTATGGAGGGAGAAACAGCTTGGCGGATGGTACGGTCAGAGTATCCATTCCTTTTGAGGGCCAGGTGTACATGTTTTAATTCACTGGTCAGGTGGTGTTGGTCCGAAATGCAATGAGCCCTATGGTATAAAGTTTTGATGAGATAATTATTTTGGGCTGGGTGGTGGTGGGAATCAGGTTTCAAGTAGGAATCTGTGTGTGTGGGTTTCCTGTAGACAGAATGCCCCAATGAGCCATCAGGTCTCCTCTCAAACAGAACATCTAAGAATGGTAGCTTGCCATCTTTCTCCACTTCCATGGTGAATTTGATGGCGGGATGTCTGGAATTGAAGTGGTGTAGGAAAAGGTTCAGAGCTGGGAGGCCATGTGGCCAAATGACGAAAGTGTCATCCACATATCTCTTCCACACAATTTCAACCGAGAAGATGGTTTCAAATTAAGCAACCATTGGAAAGATGTTCTAGATCGAACCAAACATTAAACTAATTTTCAATGGTACAGTATATTTTTCAAGTAGTGGTACCCCAAACTTTCGCAGCTCTTAAAAATTCCCTTTTCACACCATCAATAGGTAAACTCCCTCTCCCTCCCGCGCTAACCGGCATGTGTACCCGCACGTACACCACCTCTATGCTAAGTCGGCCAATCAAATGATGGTGAGCGAGTGGCGAGCGAGTGGAGAGTGGAGAGACAGTGGTGAGCGAGTGGTGAGGGAGTGGTGAGCGAGTGGAGAGAGAGTGGTGAGCGAGTGGTGAGGGAGTGGTGAGCGAGTGGTGAGGGAGTGGTGAGCGAGTGGAGAGAGAGTGGAGAGTGGTGAGGGAGTGGAGAGAGAGTGGAGAGTGGTGAGCGAGTGGTGAGCGAGTGGAGAGTGAGTGGAGAGAGTGGAGAGTGGCGAGAGAGTGGTGAGAGAGTGGAGAGTGGTGAGGGAGTGGAGAGAGAGAGTGGAGTGGTGAGAGTGGTGAGCGAGTGGTGAGGGAGTGGCGAGCGAGTGGAGAGTGAGTGGAGAGAGTGGTGAGAGTGGTGAGCGAGTGGTGAGGGAGTGGTGAGAGAGTGAAGAGAGTGGAGAGAGTGGAGAGAGAGTGGAGTGGTGAGGGAGTGGTGAGCGAGTGGTGCTGCAGGAAGAACACTCTGGACAGGACAAGCAAGGGTGGCCCTGGCGTTTATTTGACTCCGAGAGCCACACGGAGAGAGCACAGAGGGACAATCACCCAGCCAACACCCAGCCAACACCCAGCCAACACCCAGACAACACCCAGCCAACACCCAGACAACACCCAGACAACACCCAGACAACACCCAGACAACACCCAGACAACACCATCACCCAGCCAACACCCAGACAACACCCAGACAACACCATCACCCAGCCAACACCCAGACAACACCCAGACAACACCATCACCCAGCCATCACCCAGCCATCACCCAGCCATCACCCAGCCAACACCACCACCCAGCCATCACCCAGCCATCACCCAGCCAACACCATCACCATCACACAGCCATCACACAGCCATCACACATCCATCACCATCACACAGCCAACACACAGCCATCACCATCACACAGCCATCACCCAGCCATCACACAGCCATCACCCATCCATCACCCATCCATCACACAACCATCACACAACCATCACCATCACCCAGCCATCACCATCACCCAGCCATCACCATCACATCACACAGCCATCACCATCACACAGCCATCACACAGCCATCACTCAGCCAACACACAGCCAACACACAGCCATCACACAACCAACACACAGCCATCACTCAGCCAACACACAGGCAACACACAGCCATCACTCAACCACCACCCAGCCATCACACAGCCAACACACAACCATCACCACCACACAGCCATCACCCAGCCAACACACAGCAATCACACAGCCATCACTACCACACAGCCAACACCCAGCCAATACCCAACCACCACCCAGCCATCACACAGCCATCACCATCACACAGCCATCACACAGCCATCAATCGAGTGGATGATAAGTGGTTGATTGAGTGAGTGGTTGAGTGAATGGTTTAGTGAGCTGTTGAGTGAATGAGTGGTTGATTGAGTGAGTGTGTGAGTGGTTGAGTGAGTGGTTGAGTGAGTGGGTGAGTGAATGAGTGGTTGATTGAGTGAGTGAGTGGATGAGTGGGTGAGTGAGTGGGTGAGTGAGTGGGTGAGTGAGTGAGTGATTGAGTGAGTGGGTGTGTTGTTGAGTGAGTGAGTGGTTGAGTGAGTGAGTGAGTGGTTGAGTGAGTGGGTGAGTGATTGAGTGGGTGAGTGAGTGGGTGGGTGGGTGAGTGAGTGGGTGAGTGAGTGGGTGAGTGGGTGGTTGAGTGAGTGGTTGAGTGAGTGAGTGAGTGGTTGAGTGAGTGAGTGAGTGGTTGAGTGAGTGAGTGGTTGATTGAGTGAGTGGATGAGTGGGTGAGTGAGTGGGTGAGTGAGTGGGTGAGTGAGTGAGTGATTGAGTGAGTGGGTGAGTTGTTGAGTGAGTGAGTGGTTGAGTGAGTGAGTGAGTGGTTGAGTGAGTGGGTGAGTGTGAGTGGGTGGGTGAGTGAGTGGGTGGGTGAGTGAGTGAGTGGGTGGTTGAGTGAGTGGGTGAGTGATTGAGTGGGTGAGTGAGTGGGTGGGTGGGTGAGTGAGTGGGTGGGTGAGTGAGTGGGTGAGTGGGTGGTTGAGTGAGTGGTTGAGTGAGTGAGTGAGTGGTTGAGTGAGTGAGTGAGTGGTTGAGTGAGTGAGTGAGTGGTTGATTGAGTGAGTGGATGAGTGGGTGAGTGAGTGGGTGGTTGAGTGAGTGGTTGAGTGAGTGAGTGAGTGGTTGAGTGAGTGGGTGAGTGATTGAGTGGGTGAGTGAGTAGGTGAGTGAGTGAGTGAGTTGTTGAGTGAGTTGTTGAGTGAGTGGGTGAGTGGTTGAGTGGGTGAGTAGGTTAGTGAGTGGTTGAGTGAGTGAGTGAGTGGTTGAGTGAGTGGGTGAGTGATTGAGTGGGTGAGTGAGTGAGTGGGTGAGTGAGTGAGTGAGTTGTTGAGTGAGTGGGTGAGTGATTGAGTGGGTGAGTGAGTGAGTAGGTGAGTGAGTGAGTGAGTTGTTGAGTGAGTTGTTGAGTGAGTGGATGAGTGGTTGAGTGGGTGAGTAGGTGAGTGAGTGGGTGGGTGGGTGAGTGAGTGGGTGGGTGAGTGAGTGGGTGAGTGGGTGGTTGAGTGAGTGGTTGAGTGAGTGAGTGAGTGGTTGAGTGAGTGAGTGAGTGGTTGAGTGAGTGAGTGAGTGGTTGATTGAGTGAGTGGATGAGTGGGTGAGTGAGTGGGTGAGTGAGTGGGTGAGTGAGTGAGTGATTGAGTGAGTGGGTGAGTTGTTGAGTGAGTGAGTGGTTGAGTGAGTGAGTGAGTGGTTGAGTGAGTGGGTGAGTGATTGAGTGAGTGGGTGGTTGAGTGAGTGGTTGAGTGAGTGAGTGAGTGGTTGAGTGAGTGGGTGAGTGATTGAGTGGGTGAGTGAGTGAGTGGGTGAGTGAGTGA